GTACCACTAGAGATTTCCTGGTTTATTGTTAACCATGTATTTAATGTTTTATTTTATTCTTAATAGCTTCTTTGGATGTAACAAAACAGAAAGACCTCAGTGGTTTCTACCGGCACTTTTTGAATCAGAAAGTGGGTGAAGAGTCAATTCCAGAATGCAGCATTCGTGGAAGCAAAGGGTAAGTTGTATAGTTTTACTGCAGTATTAGCCGCTCCAAACAAGTCTCCCAGAATTTATACACTGAATGCTAAAGGTATCAAATTGACAACATAGGACGTGCGCAAAATATTTGACCACATAACACTGAACCAGATATGGCATTTAGGTCATATTTAATTCATGCAAGCTATTTACAGAAATATGAGAATGAATTCTATAATGCTTAACTGTATGTCAGTTGTGTTTCACTACATGCACTCCTGTGATGCAGCTTCTGTGAATTAGAGTTTCTTTGTGTTTTGTTTAAATCATTTTTAGTGTACTCAAAATCTCAAGAAATATTTTAGTTTAATATATACACTAAAAGCTTGAAGCTACATCAGCATTTGGAAAGAGCTTTTATCAGGTTCCTTTAATTCAATTGATTTAGATAATTTACTTAGTGAATAAGAATATTTATAAGGTGGAAATTTTAGCTACCTGACATTTACATCACTCGTATTCCTAATTTTAAAAATAATTCTCAATTTTATTTGTCAGTCCTAATTTTCTTTATTTGCCTCCTCAGTGTGAGAGAAGAACAACCTGGAAACTATGCTGATGAGAGTGACTGTAAAAATCCTGCTGTTGTGTCAAGGGGATCTGTGAATGAACAAAACCCTGATGCAGACAGTGACTTTAAAATTGACAGTGATGATGATAAAGCTAAAAATGGTCGGAAAAAATTGGCTTCCAAAACAAGAAATGATGACAGTTCAGATAATAGTGAAGAGAAGGCAACAGGCCATCAATACAGAAGGCGTGTTGAGTCCTCTAGTGAAGAAGAGCAAAGTCATCAACATAAGAGTCATTCACACAAAGAAGGAAGAAGTGAGAAAAGCAAGAGACGCTCTAAGAGTTATAGAGACAAGGAAAAAAGCTTCAGAAATAAGGAAAGTTCCAGTTATAAAGAGCACAAACATGTGAAGGACAAGTATAAAGAAAAAGATCATCATGGAAAGGAGAGAGAACATGAAAGATACAAGGATGGGAAAGAACAGAAGAGAATCAAGGACGAAAAATGTAAAAATAAGGACTCCAACAGTGGAAGGGATGTGAGACACGGAGATTATGGAGAGAAGCATAAAGAAAGAGATGAGCAAACAAGAGATGAAAAGCTCCAAGAACGAGAGCAAAACAAAGTGGGAAAGTATGCAAAGAAAAATGACAGAAGAAAGGAAGAAAAGTACAGAGAACACCCAGAAAAGGGAAAGTGGGACAAGGTTATTAGTGCAAGGGAAAAGGAAAAAGACACCTTTGAAAGAACTGATAAGAAATATGGAAGCTGTGATACGAGGGAAGATGGCTCAGAGAAAGAAAAACACAGAAAACATGATCATAAGAGAGCTCGATCTGAAGAAAAAACAATTGAAGAACTGAATGTAGAAACTAGAGACAATGAAGATAAAGGGAAAAATCTGAATTTGTTGAGTGAGCAAAAATCAAAAGATGATCCAGAAAAAGAAACAGATGGGGCTGCACCGTCCCAACCGGTCAGTAAATTTGTCAAGCGCAGCAACGAAGAGACTATTACATCCGCAAAAGAACGATACCTTGCAAGGCAGATGAACAGAGCTTTAACAAAGTCATATATTGAACCTGAGGAAAATGAGTAATTTTATTGGGACTGCTAACTATAAAAAAAAAAATCAGATTTTAAGTACATAAAATAACCTTTGAATGTTTTTGGCAAGTCTTGTATGAAACCATGACAACCATTAAAAACTATTTTCACTTCTTAATAGCAAGAGAAGTTCATTGTGACTACATGCATGGAAAATAATTGACACATCACTTTTGAAGCTATATTTCAGCCTATATATATATAAGAACATTTTAAGGCAAAATATCTATTTTTATTCTCTAGTAACTACAAAAGTACATGCTTTGGTGATTAAACATATTCTACTAAATCTAGAACAGAACTTTTTTAAAAAAAAGTTTTGCAGTAATTGCAGATGATTGTAGATAATCATCGTTTAATCCAAACCTGTTGTGGCTGAAATATTTTGAGTTTTTCCATGAGTTTGACATTCTCTACGGAGGAAATCTTTGTCACCTGGTATTTTATGACTATAATAAAAAAAATCGCTAGAAATGTTACCTGCAGCTTGCTTCCTGTTAGCAGGTTTTTCATACACCATACAATTTGTTTGAAGCTATTCATTGGTAGTAGTATTTGTCTTGGTTGCATTTGTGATGCTTATGTTTCTGAAGAGTATTTTCAAGATGCAAATACAATTTTGTTTGTTTTAAATTGAAACTGCCATAGTAAATTTTTGAACAAAAACAAAGTTGCTGAGAAAGCTCAGCAGGTCTGGCAGTATTTGTGAAGGAAAAAACGGAGTTAACGTTTCGGGCCCAGTGACCCTTCCTCAGAACTCAGTAAATTTTTGGTTCTGTTGTGAAAAATGTGGCAGGTCTCTTTGTTGGTATGTGTTGCAACAAATGCTGCCCTGGACAGCCACATCCACATCCCAGGAGTAATTGAAATAAATAATTCCAAGTGTGGGAAAAGATGAAGCAATCTGGGCTCACTTTTTGTAGATTCCTACAGGCCAGCCTACTGCCTTCTGTGTCCTGGTTCCACACTTCCACACATCCTTATTTGGCAAACTGGCATCCATCAATCAACACACCATGATGGAAGCACATCACTCTAAACCTCCTGTTGCTGGAGTGCACTATTAAACGTACTTCCCACAAGAATGAATATAATTTTCCAACTGCACTTCATTCATAGAGTCATGCAGCACAGAAACAGACCCTTTAGTCTAACCAGTCCATGCCAACCATAATTCCAAACTAAACTTGTCCCACCTGCCTGCGCTTGACCCATAAAGCTCTGAACATTTCTTATTCATTTCTTATTCATCTAACCACCACTTCTTTTGGATGTTCATTCCATAAACAAACCACACATTGTGTAACAAAAGAAAAAAATGCCCCTTGTCTTTTTAAAATCTTTTCCTCCCCTTAAAAATATGCCCCCTAGTTTTGAAATTCACCACCCTAGGGAAAAGACATCTGCAATTCACCTTATCTATATCCCTCATAATTGTATGAACCTCTGAGGTCACTTCTCAACATCCAACGCTCCAGTGAAAGAAGTCCCAACCTACCCAGCCTCTCCTTACGATTTAAATCCTCTATTTTCGGCAACATCCTGGTAAAATGTCTTCTGAACCCTCTCCAGCTTGATAATCTCCTTCCTATAACAGGGCGATACAGCACTCCAGAAGAGGTCTCACCAACGACCTGTACAATCTCAACATAACATCCCAACTCCTATATCAAAGGTCTGAGCAATGAAGGCAAGCATGCTAAATATCTCCTTAACTATCTGACCATTCTTTTTCAATCTTTACTCAGAAAATGCCTCGATGTATAACACTACCTGTGATGATACCCGAGTTCGATACTATGGCTTTGAGAGGTGTAAGAGGAAGAAAGTTAAGACAGAGGTACTGAGCAGTCTGCTCAAAGCCAATAAACAGCTTGTGAGACCTTGGGATTTTTGTTAACAGTTGGAACAATAGAAGCAGCCTGAATGAGTGGAGTCAAGCTCCGACAGAACCAGGATTTTTAGTTTTAGCTTTCTGCAGTTGCTGGGGTCTCAATGCTGGATGTGGAAGCTCTTATTCCTCTCTCTGTTACAGCTAAACACTGGGGTTCTCTTCCTGCTGCTGGAATTGCATGTGAGACAATCTATTTCACTGGATTTGCCTTTACCAAAGGTGTGTTTATGGGATGTTACTATATTGGAATAGTTAATTAGCAGTAGTTAATATATATTATTTTGTTAAGTATTTTAGTAGTTAGGTAAGCCAATTTTCTTTTTATTTTGTCTGTGTTTTAACTGTAGTGTAAAAATAAATTGGTTTGCGCAAAGTTGAGTAGTTTGACCAATCAGATTGCATCTGGAATGCAATGCCTTATACTTACATTTAAAATAACAAAAGTTTAGGATCTAGGCTATCTTCTTAATATATTTTGAGGGGGTTTGGACTGGTCTCCAACACAATCCAAATGTGTACCACCATACTAACAAGCCAAAGCATGGTTCTAGATTTGCTCGTTGCAAAGTAGCTTTCAAAAAAGTAAATATGTGGTGTTTGCTTTGTGATTCTATATCATGTCATAATACTTTTTATGTAGACTGAAATGTAAATTCTGGATTCATGATTGGGGTATCGCAATGCAGTACATTAATACAGTTCTGGAAAGGATTGTCAGTGAATTAATCACATTGCAACCTCCTGCTTTCCTTGAAGATGGATATGATTTGTTTTGAAATATGAAAATAATGTGCTGCAGCTTTTCTTCTGTTTTGTTTTGGAACAACAATCTACAAAATGAAAGTAATTCCCTCAAAGAGCAGGATTTCTTTCTTGTTCTATAAAAACGATGATCTCTCTTGAACACAACAGAGAACTAAACCTGGACAGCTCATAATGGAAGCCTTGTTGATGGAGCAACTTGTCTTTATTGATAGAATAGTTTACTGATATTTCTTTATCCTTGTCTTAGCAACAGTATTGCTGTCTTACTCATCAGCTTGTCTGGGTATCAAGACTTTCATTTTGTCACAGGATTAACTTTGTCCTTTTCAAAATCTCTCCAACTTGCAGGAAAATAAATTGATTTTTGAAGAATGTTTTAAAATAGGATATTTATTCATTTATTTTTGTGTTTTCAAAAACAAAAAGAAAAATCATCACTTTCCATGATCCCATAAATGAACGTTGTGATTGGTCAGGAAGCAACTAGATGTGCATGGAACATTTTTGCCTCCTTACAAATTTAGTAAGTCATTACTCTAGTTAATGGAAATAATAAACTTTTATTTAATCATGTAAAATAATAACTGTAGGCACACATTTGCAAGATATAATTACTACAACAATTTAGAAATATAATTTGCAACATACAAAAGCTGGACAAAGACATTAGACAGTAATACATAACTGACACAGTCAATAAATGTACAGACTTGAGCAACAAATACAGAAGACATACAAAAATGGCTTCATACATTGGCAGTTGCATAAGCAACCTCACAAATATGAAAATACTGTACTTAAAAACAAAAGTGAATGAAGCTGTGTGCACTCTAAAGAGCAGTTAATTATCTCTTTAATGTGCAACAAATTCCAAGTACTTTTTAAAATGACTGGAATGTTATGGAATCATAATCAGCACAAGATAATGTTACATTAGTTTATCAGCCATCAATCCGACAACTTGATCTAAAGCCAGTTTATTAGTCCCAGTTTAAACTCAGTTTTTCTATGTGCCTGGTTCTTATATTGTGGAATGTTTTGTTGATAACCCAACATGACGAAAAACATATTGTGAATTAGGACTGAACTGTGAAAGCTATTCAACTACAGGCACTTATCCCTGTGCTGAGTAAGGGAATAAAGGTTAATAGTCTCATTGCTAATGGAAGTGCATCTGTGTAGGTGACAGAAAATGACCTCATAAAATAATGACAACAAAACAGGCAGGTATTGCCATGATTTACAACTAACCTCTTAATCCTTTTATGGTACCATGTTAACACCCTTAAAAATATGCTTACCTGAAAAATCCCATTATAAATGTTGCAAGAGGGCCTCCTGTTATACTCTGGAATTGTTTAACTGTGTGATCAATGGGTAAAAATGATGTAAATTCTCCATGGACTACCTGTACTTGTAGTATCTCTAACATTTGCAAGAGATGGCTGAAAGGTATAGATCTCTATAGCCAATAATACCAGTTGTGATAGGGATAATGTACTTGAGCTTACTTGCCATTCAGTTATTTGATTTGAAGTACTTTACTCCTGCTTGTACAGTTAAGTACATAGGAATGTTCATAACTAGTTCACTTAAATGATAATATATTGCCGTTGAGGGACTTTGGCTGATTTTCCAAAACATAGTTATTGCCTAAATTGTACAAGAATTGGTTTGCAGAAAAAAATAGACAATTCCAAAATTAACCACTCTTTGCATGAAGCGATTCCTTATCGGCCATAAATGCAATTGTGTCCCCAAGTTCTAGACCCCACCCCAGCCAACGGAAAAGACCACAGTAACAAGGAATGGAATTGTGCCTTTCTTGTTGATGGTTTGAATGGTCTGGCTCATTGTGCCCTGAATGGTGGCAATGGTTATCCAAGGAGCAAAAGCAGATTTGGGGAAAAAAGGAATGAGATCAATTGGAATTTAATCCAGCAGGAATAGATTCTTTAAACTTCCCCAATTCTTTTGCTGGTGGGAGGGGCAGAGGTAGTTTCATCGCAAACAAAGCAGTATGTTTTCAGGGGTTAATCTCTGTGCTTTAACATTGAATTAGTTAATCCACAGTCCAGTGGATGGAGTGTTTTGGTGCACTGCATACATCATTGAATACTTTAGAGGCAGCATTAGATAAGGGTGCCTATGGTTACTAATACTAGGCGGGAATATAGAGTTGAGGCCACAAGCAGATCAGCAATGATGTTATTGAATGGCAAAGCAGGTTAGTGGAGCCTAATGACCCATTCCTATCCAAATCTGTGTGTTGTTATTCGCATTATTGTTTTAATGGGCTGGAACCATTCATCTACTGGGTCTTAAATTAAGTTGATTATTTTAATTAGATTCTTAGCTAATAATTTCAATTGAACAACACAGTCCAGTGAACAATATATTAAATCATAAAATGCTTTTATGTTAAGGGAACAACTTCACCTTTATAAATTCAATTTCAGATTAATACGGATCACTTCTGAGTGTCTTGTTTGATGCAGGATTGTTCTTACTTTGTTTTAGTAAAAAATATTTTCTATTTTAAAATATGTTTATTCTTACTGTGTTGTTAACTGGTTTCTTTTGGCATAAGCAACAGCAAGGGAGATTGAATGAATTGGCTACAATCCTCCCTGGCTGTACAATAAAGTAATAACCATCTGAGGATAAAATGTCAAAATATTTGTTGCTATTGGGAAAATAATGTTTTTTCTTTGTTGCAATCAAAACTGTTTCAATTAATCGACGTCAGGACAAAATAATTTGGTCTGGCCATTTTTAAAAATGAAGTTTTCAATATTTATAGTAGTTCAGTAGTGCTTTGATTAGAAGAAATGAAATCTGCATGGTCAGATGCTGTGCCAACATTTTACATGACTATAGGAAAATAACTTGGCTCAGCTCTCAAGTGGGACTGATTAGCAAACAGCATCACAGAGAATAAAAGACATGAACTCTGTCTCTAAGAGTAATCAATTAATGTCTTGTTAATTTACTGAATTATGTAGCAGTGACTTTTTAAGAACAGAGTGATGAATGTTGCCAGAACAATTACGTGAATGATTGATGATGCCTTCTAATATGTCTGGGTACAACACATTTAATTTCATCACCCAATGTAAAGTGGTAACTGCAAGGTAAATGGTCTCATAGGTTTCCTTTATTTGCAATAGAAATCTTGAACTAAAAGAATTGGACTTCCAAATCAAGATGGACTTTTTTTCTTGCACTGTGCAATTCTCTTTTTACAAAGCTGGGTTAAACACAATGAACTTAAGTTTCCATCATAACTTGACCAAACTTGACTCAAATACTACTGGCCACTTTATAAGTTAAGAACAACAGCTGTAGCATCAGTAAATTCAGTAAAAATGCCACACAGCCGTATTTGTATCAAAATTAGCAGCTCAGTCATCAGATATGTGAAGACCAAGGGTTGTACTACCATCTCGATGTAGTTTGAATCACAACAATCTTGTCAGTGGATGCCCATTCAACTTTCAACATTTTCAAGTTGTTACTTGACTACAAAGTCCAGGGTAACCACCGCATTAATTTTGAAGAACACTACCTAAGTGAGTTTTGAAGCTTTTTAAAATGTAAAAAAAATTTATATGAAATGTTTTATAAAAATTATAATCATTATTTTAAATGATCTGTTTTAAATGTATTATGTACAAAAAATAATGTTTACTATTCCAGTTAGCTCTTCATTTTGGTGATTTTATTTCCCATTTACCTGCAATTTCTTTTTAAAAGTATAAAAGCAATGACTTAGTATTGAAATATGGAATACAGTGAATAAGGCACCTGAACATAGATGTGAAGTATTCCATCAAACACAACAAAAATCAGGTTCAGGACTACACTTGGACTAAAAGTCAACAATTTACACTTTTGAACAAATACACAAGCTAATCGTAATGACTTCATGTAACCTTTAATAACTGATCCAAACTCCATCTTATGTTAAAAATCAAGTTTCTAATTATCTTTGAAATGTTGCTTTGGCAGCTTGGTCATAAAAAATTCTGATGTTGTAATTTAACAATAAATTGCTTGCCTTTAATTACAATACCAATTGCTTCAAAATACACAAAATACATCATTTTAGGACATAGCAATAGTCTCCAGTCACTGGTATTCATTCATTATAAAAACAATGTGTAGCATAATGCTCTGTAGACATAAAAAGGAATACCTTTTTTCTGACTTTTACAATTGAGCTGTGTGTGTGAGTGTGAGTGAGAGAGACTGAGTGTGTGGGGGCAAGAATATATGATGACCCCAGTAGAACAACAAAAGTCTAAAGAACTGGGAGGGAATACTGACATCATTAAGCTGCATTTTGAGGATTGCTCTGTCTCCTCATGTCTATAATTTGGGGCATGATTTTGACCGCTCAAATACCATTGACTGATCTTAGCAGTCAGTCCAGGAAGTTAAGAGCACTCATGGTTATATCAGACAGAATTCAGGTGGACACCAGAATTAGGAGTTTCATTTTCTTCAACTTCTGGAGTGATACTTCTCAAAATTCGCTGTTAAAAGGTAAGTTTTCAGTAAGTTATTGCATTTAATTTCTTCGGTATACAATTGAAAAGTCACTCTATGAATCAACATGGTGTAAATTATAGATTCATACTTATAAAACAAAGAAATTTACCTTTTTTGCACTATCATGAAATTATAATGGAACACCAGTTGTAATAGCACTATAATGTAATCTACAATAGTGCTTTTTCAGTTTTACAGAAGTGTTTGCCCGACAACAGTCCAATAAAAACTGCAACCATTCTGCACACACTAAACCTTCACATGGCAACACATCCTGTATTGTACCTGTGTGTTCATGAGCCAACAACTTTATCTCTGCATCACAAAATATGGTTATAAATTGGTATGGTTCTCTGGGCCAATTAGGGATGGGCAATAAATATAGTCATGCTTGCATCCCTTGATTGAATATAGAAGAAAATGTGCCTTGTCAGGTTGCTTCAAAAACTAAATGCTTTTTAATAGAAGTTTTAAGAATATAACCTAAAATTATTGGGCATAATACACACCAATTCTTCCCAAAAGTGGAGAAATGAATAGAGTACTGTGATGTTGAACCACACAGGTCAGAAATTTAGCTGAATCCTTATGGAGTCAATTAGATGCTTCAAATTGTCCCCAGAGACACGGGGAAGTGAAAAAATCTTGATTGTAATCCAGTGGCAGTAAAATGTATGAAATGTTTGCCAACATTGGTTGAGGAGAGAACTGAATAGACTGATATCATACCTAGAATTAAATATACTAAAAGTAGGCACTTCAGCATGGTATCTTAGGCACACTACTTTCAGTGGAACATCACTCTGATATGCATTAACTCCTTTTGGGGAAGAAGCACGATTGCTGTGAATACTAAAGGGAAAAAAGTGCTATCAATGACCCATGAAAACTTGCAACAATCACTTATAATATTTACATAATTCATTTATCTAATGAGCACAACTATTTCATGACATGATCATTTTATTGGCTACAAAGTTGGGTTCCTTATATGTAACTATTAAACCACTCGTCTGGTTGTTCACCTCAACAAATAAATCACAATGAAATTGCTATGGTTTTGATTTAAGGAGGAAAGCAAGATTATCACCAAGATTTTGGCCAAGGGTCTCTCGACCCCACTGTCCAGCTCAAACAGGCATCAGAAGCCTGCAATTTGTCAGAAAGTTGATCAACTGTGATTCTCTGCTAGGCTCATCATCCATTTAAAAATGTTGGGAGGGTTCCCAAAGCAGCACTGACGAAGCAAATGCTTGCCTCCCAAGGCAAAAGACAGAGGGCAAGTAGACCTGCAATTTGTCCATCTTGCATCTGTGAAAATAACCTAGGAATAGGATGAAACCAGGGAGCCAGCGTGCCAGTAGGCAGTGTGAAGTTCCCTGGCTAGCTGCCTCTGTGCTTGCTCCAATTAGCGCTTAGCAATTCAGTTCCATGTTAATAGGTCTAGAATGAGCCTTAAAACTACAGTGACATGACTCAAAGGCAGGAGTCTGCCAACTGGACTAAAACAACACCCAAGGTAAGTGCGCAACAAGGAAGCCCCCAGGATGTTCCCTACTTCAACATTTGATCTGTGCTGAATTCATTCATCTCAGCCAGGATCTTGGTTTTGGTAATTTGATTTTTGTTCCTGAGTTTATTCGTTCTTTCATGGGATGGAGATTTCACTGGTAAGGTTGGCGTTTCTTACCCATCCCTAATTTCTCTTGAACTGAGCAGCTTGCTAGGCCATTTCATAGGGCATTTAAGAGTCAACCAGATTTCCATGGATCTGAGGTGTACTTTAGGCCAAACTGGATAAGGAAGGCAGGTTTCCTTCCCTAAAGGACATTAGCAAACCAGATGAGTTTTTATAACAATAAGTAATAGTTGTCATGGCCATCATTACTGGGATTAACTTTATATTAATTGAACTAAAATAGCACCAGCTGCTGTGATAGGGCCTGAAATTGTCCCCAGAGCATTAGCCTGGGCCTCTGCAGTCTGTCTCTCTCTTCTCCCTGGAATGGAATAATCAGCTCATGTTTCTGCTTCTTAATGCTTTCCAGCGACTCTTTCCAGAACAATCTACACTATTTGTGTCAGGGCAGGAATGGGTTCAGCTGTGCAACCAATTACAGTTTAATAGATTTTTACTGCCTACAATTTGGTGACGTGCAGCACTCTGGGCTTTGAACTTTTAACTTTATTTTTTAACTGCCACATTTGTTTAGGTTCATACTGAAGTCCTGAAATTGTGAAGGACAGGCAATTCAGAACTCCCACTGACCGAGTTTCCCTCACAATTATGGGGCTACCACGAATGTAAAATGGGTAAGTTTTATTGCAGGGTGTTTAATGCCTCTGGAGCTTTTAGCCCAGTATATAAAAAAAATCTTCCCCAAAGCAGATGAGAAAATTGGCAGAAAAGGAACAGGAAGCTAAATACAAATCTCTTCTACACTTAAACAATGAGAAGACATCAAACACACTTCTAAAAATATACAAACGAATCAGCAAGTTCAAACAGTCAATCTGTGACACTTGCATAGTTTTCTTGGAATAATCTGAACATTGTTTGCTTTCCAGGATCGCGCTACCCCCACCTAGTCACTAAAACTGAGTGTGAAGACTTAATTGAACATCTGCCACTTACCTGTTTAAATGTTCCTGGAGTAATTATAATTTTGTAAACCATGTAGGACGGAACACAGATAAATGATGAAGTACCAACGCAGTAGCCAACTACTGCAGTCCAATAGGGATATGTATAATTAAAGAGCTTAAGTTCTAGAGGAGCTGACAGGAAACTGCCAATGATGAACTGTTGAAAAATAGGACAGCTGTTGTTAACAGTGAGAGAGAAACAATCAAATACAAATAGATTTACAACACCCTCTATATCTCCTTTTTCAGTGATGCCAAAGAGTTGTTTATTGCGAAGTTCAATAATGCTGTTAAGCATTACACAAATTAGAGATGACAAAAGTATCAGCCATTTAAGTATGACTATAGACGTACTTAATTTGCATTGAATGCTCCCAGATCAGATGTAACATGGGTTGATGGTCATTCAAAGTTTCCCCAAAAATCTTTCAATTTGCACCATTAACTCCAAATTCAAAAAAATACTTTGTTGCAACAGTCTAGCAATAAACTTAATTTACTTGTTCAACACTTTTCCCTTAAATTTATCTCCAAATTGTGTTTTTAGTAAAACTCAGGAAGCTTGAACAATGCTTTCTTGTTTTTGTAAACTTTGATTAATGATTTGAAGTAAAGTATATTATACTTTAAAGATTATTTAACATAATTTCCTCTTTGATACTCAAGGTAAAGAGTTACAATGTCATTCCACAATCAAGAATATGTCCTTCCTATGGACAAAAATTGACCACCAATTTTTCTGAAAGGAGATTTGGTAGTACAGAACTTGAATGTTGCTTTAAAAAGACTTTTACCAAAGCTTTTTACTTAGTATGTTCCTTCAGATGTTTGTAATGGAAAGAGTACAAATTGTACTCAAACAATCCAAACTTGTAAAATACAAAGAAAATGCCACCTGTTAGATATTATTCCACGAATAGGCAGCATGTGCTGAATATTCTTGAGTGTGCTAATAGCTGCAAGAATGAACAATTTAGGATGATCCGTTGAGCTCATAGTGTAGCTCATTTATTCCTGCTTGAAGCAACATAAATTCACATACAAGTACCTGTTCTCTGCAAACAAAAGGAATATGTTCAAGCCTTGTACCATTTTTTATCTTACACAGGAGCATACAGAGCTGGTAACCTGTTGCTTTCTTCAGAGCAATGTTTAACTACTGTTTTCTCCTGTGGTATTTGTTTAACATTTGGCATTCTTTAATTTGTCCTGATAAATGCAAAATGAAAAGCTTCGGCAACACATCTCTATTTTCAGCAACGACTTATTTTTCTCCTCATAAGACCTCCTACAAATGATAAAGAGTCTATGACTATTATTCATTCAGGCACGAGCATATTGGATACAAATCATTGCAACAGGTCATGTTAAATGGTGTCAAGGTGGTATTGCTTATTTCTCAGATTTATTGGAACCAATGCCCATTTGAACTGAAATATAAATGTACATACATATAAATACAATTTTACTTTGTTTATATTAATATTAATTTGATTGGACTTCTATATTTCCACTGAAACGATGTAGCCTTTCATGAGCTACAAACTTCAGCAGACCTAACCTGTGTTATGCTATGAGTCAACTTAAAATCTTCAGCAATGTAACACTGCAGTCACAAAAATAATTCCCTTGACTTAACAGTAAATCAATTTTCTTTATCTCACTCATGGTTGTGGTATTTAGATAATGAATTGATAGGACAACTTGGGATCTAAAACTATTATCATCTTATTGTGAAGTGGCTTTATTTAAGAGGTTCATTTAAGTTAAATATCTAGTCTGAGTCTGCCAAATAAATCTTGTTCTGAAATATTCCCTTCCAAGACATTTGACCTAATTTTTAAACATTTTTTTGCCCTTAATTTTATGTATTCACAGTTGAAACTAAAAAAAAAACTTGAGACAACACATCTGCAATTCTGTGCAGGGCTGGATGAACACAGCAGGCCAAGCAGCATCATAGGAGCAGAGAGGCTGACGTTTCGGGCCTAGACCCTTCATCAGAAAAGGGGGAGGGGAACGGGGTTCCTAAATAAATAGGGAGAGAGTGGGAGGTGGATAGAAGAGGGATAGAGGAGAGGATAGGTGGAGAGGAAACAAACAGGTCGAAGAGGGCGGGGATGGAGCCAGTAAAGGTGAGTGTAGGTAGGGAGTTAGGAAGGGGATAGGTCAGTCCAGGGAGGACGGACAGGTCAAGGGGGCGGGATGAGGTTGGTCGGTAGGAGATGGAGATGCGGCTTGAGGTGGGAGGAGGGGATAGGTGGGAGGAAGAACAGGTTAGGGATGCAGGGACGAGCTGGACTGGTTTTGGCATGCGGCAGGGGGAGGGGAGATTTTGAAACTTGTGAAATCCACATTGATACCATTGGGCTGCAGGGTTCCCAAGCGGAATATGAGTTGCTGTTCCTGCAACCTTCGGGTGGCATCGTTGTGGCTCTGCAGGAGGCCCAGGATGGACATGTCGTCTGAGGAATGGGAGGGGGAGTTGAAATGGTTCGTGACTGGGAGGTGCAGTTGTTTATTGCGAACCGAGCGTAGGTGTTCTGCAAAGCGGTCCCCGAGCCTCCGCTTGGTTTCCCCGATGTAGAGGAAGCCACACCGGGTACAGCGGATGCAGTATACCACATTGGCAGATGTGCAGGTGAACATCTGCTTGATGTGGAAAGTCTTCTTGGGGCCTGGGATGGGGGTGAGGGAGGAGGTATGGGGGCAGATGTAACACTTCCTGCGGTTGCAGGGAAAAGTGCCGGGTGTGGTGGAGCTGGAGGGGAGTGTGGAGCAGACAAGGGAGTCATCGAGAGAGTTGTCCCTCCGGAAAGCAGATAAGGGTGGGGAGGGAGAGATGTCTTTGGTGGTGGGGTCAGATTGCAGATGGCGGAAGTGTCGGAGGATGATGCGTTGGATCCGGAGGCTCGGGGACCGCTTTGCAGAACACCTACGCTCGGTTCGCAATAAACAACTGCACCTCCCAGTCGCGAACCATTTCAACTCCCCCTCCCATTCCTCAGAGACATGTCCATCCTGGGCCTCCTGCAGTGCCATAACGATGCCACCCGAAGGTTGCAAGAACAGCAACTCATATTCTGCTTGGGAACCGTGCAGCCCAATGGTATCAATGTGGATTTCACAAGTTTCAAAATCTCCCCTCCCCCTACCGCATCCCAAAGCCAGTCCAGCTCGTCCCTGCCTCCCTAACCTGTTCTTCCTCCCACCTATCCCCTCCTCCCACCTCAAACCGCACCTCCATCTCCTACCGACCAACCTCATCCCGCCCCCTTTGACCTGTCCGTCCTCCCTGGACTGACCTATCCCCTTCCTAACTCCCTACCTACACTCACCTTTACTGGCTCCATCCCCGCCTCTTCGACCTGTTTGTTTCCTCTTCACCTATCCTCTCCTCTATCCCTCTTCTATCCGCCTCCCACTCTCTCCCTATTTATTTAGGAACCCCGTTCCCCTCCCCCTTTTCTGATGAAGGGTCTAGGCCCGAAACGTCAGCCTCTCTGCTCCTATGATGCTGCTTGGCCTGCTGTGTTCATCCAGCCCTGCACCTTGTTGTCTCGGATTCTCCAGCATCTGCAGTTCCTACTACATCTGCAATTCTGTAGGGTAATGTCCATAAACTGCTATGAAAAGGATACTAAATCATTTTAGAACTGGGTAGATTTAGGCTAAGGCGGAGAGTACAACAAAACTTAAGATCAGCTGAAATAAAGTCAACTCATACTTAAGCTGAGATTTTTTCAAAGTTGTCATGTCATAGGTGTAAGGACTCAAAAGCGTAAATCAAGCTGTATTGAAACAGATACTTTTAATACCATTATTTAAGGTGTGAGCATTTTCAACAAACCATTTTTTTACATTATGAATATCAACAGCATCATTAAAGGAACTGGTTGGGAGATTTTGATGAATTTGAGGATCCAAAAACAGTTAACAATCAGTAACCCACAAGGTTTAGTTTCATGTACAGTTTGTCAATTCAGTCCTCCCCATATTGCAAGGTGCTGGTATTCCTCCTAAGCTGTTTCACTGATGCTAACACTTGAGTTTAAGTATATTAAAAAAAACTCAACAGGAAAAGATCCAAACAGAGGATGCTGATAATAATCTTTATTATAAGGTTTTAAAAGGGGGCCATTGGAAGTATTAATTACATTTTAACTTCCAATTCCTGCTCTCCACTTTTGTACTAAGTAACAAAGTTGCTCTTTGACACCTCTGTAAAGGTAAGTTTGCCATAGCTGCAGATAGCCCTCAGGCTGCTCTCATTAGAGAGAGATGACAGGTAGTGGTTTAACCTGAGAGTCACCACATCTCCGGTTAGTAGAGAGGTTAAAATGGGGGCAATCTCAGCTGATGTACTAATTGAACCCACACTGTTAATGTCACTCTGTAATTCAACCAGGTGTACAGCAAACTGACTCCCAGCTCTGGGTGGAGTCACAGACAATAATGTAGCCTTCCAATACTAATTAATCTTTCAAACAAGCAAAATCACCATGCTATTTGGAAAATAATACTTGCACAACAGTATTTTCATATTAAATCAGTTTAAGTCCCATTGTTAGCTCATCCTTCTGCCAAACAGAAAGTGATCCACATGGAGAAGAAGTCTGGTATATGTTTACAACAGTAAGAACTACTTATATGGAGGTTCCTGTCACAACTTCAAGGCATCTGTCTTCTTCCCTATCAGAAAAGAATTTTATTGATGCACAGTTCCTAATGGAATACAGGGGAAAGCTACTGCTAATTTGCACACAGAAAAGTGCAACAAACAGCAATGAGATAAATGACTGGAGGACCTGGCATGGTTCTGGTTTTGGCACTACTGGTTAAGGAGCAAATAGTGGCCTGGAATTCTGGAGAAACCTTCTGCTCTTCTTTCAAATTGTTAAGGGATCTTTTACGTCAGTTTGATCATTGGTGGTACCATTAATAACATTCTCAACTCTGCATGGGACGATTTGCATGTTAAAATAGGGCTGAGTCAGCACTGCTTCATGAAGGGGAGGTCATGCCTGACAAATCTGTTAGAATTCTTTGCAGGAAGTAACGAGCAAGTTAACAAAGGAGAGCTGGTCGATGTGATCTGTTGGATTTCCAGAAGGCTTTTGACAAGATGCCACACAGGAGGCTGCTAAATAAGATATTAGCCCATGGTGTTGGGGGCAAGATACTGGTGTGGATAGATGATTGGCTGACTGGCAAAATGCTTTTTCAGAATGGCAGCTGGTGACTAGTGGGATTCAGTGTTGGGACCACAACTATTCACCTCATATATTAACAATCCGGATGAAGGAACTGAGGGCACTGTTGCCATGTTTGTAGATAACACAAAGATAAGTGGAGGGACAGGTAATGTTGAGGAGGCTGCAGAAGGACACGGACAGGCTAGGACAGTAGGCAGAGAAGCGGCAGATGGAATACAACACTGGGAAAGTGAGAGATTATGTACTTAGGTAGGAAGAATAGAGGCTTGGACTTTTATAAATGGGAAAAGGCTTCAGAAACCTGAAACATAAAGGGTCTTAGGAGTCCTAGTTCAAGCTTCTGTTAAGGTTAACATGCAGGTTCAGTTCGCAGTTAGGAAGGCAAATGCAATGTTAGCATTAATTTCAAGAGGGCTAGGGTACAAGAGCAGAGATGAACTGCTGAGGCTGTATTAAGCTCTGGTCAGATACAGTTGGAATATTGTGAGCAGTTTTGGGTCCCGTATCTAATGAAGGATGTGCTAGCTTTGGAGAGGCTCCAGAGGAAGTCTATAAGAATGATCCCGGGCATGAAGGCTGTTAGATGAGGCGTGGTTGAGGACTCTGGGTCTGTACTCGATGGAGGTTAGAAGGATGAGAGGGGGATCTGATTGAAACTTCTAGAATACTGAGAGGCGAGGATAGAGTAGATATTTCCATGAGGAGGAGAGACGAGGACCTGAGGACACAGCCTCAGAGTGAAGGGATGATTCTTTAGGAGTGAGATGAGGAGGAATTTCTTGAGCCAGAGAGTGGCGAATCTGAGGAACTCACTGTCACACAAGGCTGTGGAGGCCAAGTCATTGAGTGTATTCAGGACCGTGATAGACAGGTTCTTAATCAGTAATGGGATGAAAGGTTATTGGGAGAAGGCAGGAGAATGGGACTGAGCAATATATCAGCCATAATTGAATAGTGGAGCCGGCTAATTGGGCCGAATGGCCTAATTCTGCTCCTATATCTTATGGTCTTGTGGTCTGATTTTAACATGCAAACAAAGTTAACAGAGTACCATAACTGAAAGCTGACATTTAAAATAGTCTTTCACATTTTACAGGAAAACTGTAATGTCATGGCTATCAATATAAAGACTTTGATTCATTGTAATTAATTATTGTATTTAAGATATCCTTAATTAACAGAAAATTGATTGAGAAATGAATGAAGTCTAAATGCATGTAAATGCACAGGATTTAGTAAATAAGATCAGGGAAATTACAGGTGCAGATTGCCATGTGAAAATATGATGTTATTGTGATAACAAAGACCTGACTCAAAGAAGTGTAGGACTGTGTGTTAATTGCATTAAATAGCTGGGATAAAATTAGTACTTGCATTGAAAAAGTTGGGCTGAATAGGAAGGGCTAGCATGAATTTCTAAAGGGAAAATCAAGTTTGTTGAAGAGGTCAATAGGAAGGTTCAATGCTGTGATACAGAATACATGGATTCTCAAAAGGCATTTGATACAGTGTCATACAAATGTAATATAAGAAAAAACATTTTCACGTAAGTGGTCCCAGTCTGGAATGCACTGTCTGAAAATATGGGACAGGCAAGTTCAATCACGGCATTCAAGAGGGTATTGGATGTCTGTTTCAATCCAAATAAGGTGCAAGGGTATGGGGAAAAGGCAAATAAATGGTGTTCAGTCAGAATGCTGATTGGAATGTTAGTGCAGACACAAAGGGCTGAATGGCTTCATTCTGCACCCTAACAATTCTGTGATTTTGCAGCAAGGAACATTGAGAAAATACTAAAAGCCAGCTATCAAAGAGTTCTATCTTTGAGTGTCTAAGCTCCCTAAGGCTGTTTGATTTGTAAAGGTCAGTAAATTCCAGGGATTGTGTACTGAAGCACATTCTAACACTGATATTCCACCTTGGGTCCATCCAAATGAGATGTAAGATATAAAGGCTCTTTCATTAAATAACCCATTTCAATCCAATTGGACACACAGTAGACATCTGGTTTTACATTTGGCACTAACCAGAGTGTTTGTTCAATATGACAAAAGTGTGCAGAAACAGAAAGATCACCTTGATCAAGTGCAGGCTACATTATTGAAGCTGAGAATTTTTGTTATTGTTTCAATGCTGGGGAAATGTTAATCTGATCACTGTTACACCCGTGTTGTAAGTTTCCTGTGCCTTGAAATGCATACCCCATCTTTATTAAGTAATAGATATCACAGAATCAAATCAGTAATAAGTTGATCAAGTATTGCCCTCATGGCTAATCTTACCAGTAGGAAAATTGGGCTAATCGCAAACCAGCATATCTGCCAGAACCAGCCGGGGCTAAAGCCAAGCATTTCTTTAACATCCCTGCAGAAACGTTTCATTCCTGAAGTAGTAAGAATAGAACAGAAAATGAGTATGAATCAATTCAAACAAATGGAAGCTCTACATACGGCAGCTCTTTACTTACACAGTCCCTCTTGGTAATTCTGTGTGAGAGCGCAACAACTGAATTTTTATCACAAGATCTTCTAATACCTAGTTCATCTCCTCCAAGGGGGTCAAAACCAACTAAAGCTTTCAGTTGGAAATTACAGGATGGAGCACATAGAAGTTATGCGAATGTAATTTGGTCACTGAACATATATGGCTTTGATTGTACATTAATCTTCATAATTAATTATCAGAACTTCCTATATCATTCCAGCACCCAAAAAGCTCCTAATTCAACAAAGGTGGCACTAAGTAAAAAGGACACTGACACAAAGTCAATGTTGGCAGGGGTGACTTCCCATACATTTGTCATCAATTTACATTTATTTCAAATAATCTGTGTTTACCTTATCTATAATTTTTTTTTTTTACTTTAGCGATCTCGCCACCTCTTCTTTCAAGGCTGCAAAGCTCAAGTTAATATACAATTTACATACCAGAAAGAGAGCATTTGACCCAACTGGTCCATTCCAGTACATATACTACACAAAAAACCTCCTCCCACTCTACATCAACCAGCCCTATTGACATATCCTGCTTTATACATTTTCCCTGAATTAGGTTCCTCTTGATGCATTTATGCCTGTTGCCTCAACTGCTACATAGAAAGATAGGGACAGAAGTGAGCCATTCAACCCATCCTATAGCATAGCGGATACTCAAACATTTTCAATGCATATCGCCTTGCTCATTTGTCATAATCCTTCCTGTATGCTATTGGTAATCAGAAATCTATAGATCTCTATCTTAAACACACTCAGAGACAGAGATTCCATGGTCCACCGGGATAGAGAATTCCAAAGATTCACAGCCCTCTGAGTAAAAAAAAACTCCCCACCTCAGACCTAAGCGGCATCCCCCTTACTTTTACATTGTTCTGGTTTGGGAGAAACGTCTTCCCTGTGTCTACCCTATCTAGCCAATTAAGTATTTTGTAGGTTTCAATCAGATCACCTCTCATTCTTCAAAATTCTGAAGAATACATGCCAAGTTTGTCCAATCTCTCTTGATATGACAGTCTTGCCATCCCAGGAACAAGCCAGATGAACATATATTGCAGTTCATCTATGGCAATAACACCTTTTGTCAGATAAGGAGAACTAAAACTGCTCACATACTCCTGATGTGGTCTAACCAAGCTCCTATAAAATTGAAGCAAATATGGTTACAAATATTACATTCTTAATACTGTCTGGTTAAGGAAGTGTATCTTGAGCCCTTTTTGGACTCCTTAATAAATATCATATATGTGCTTCCCAGTTTGGGGTTCTCCATAAATGGTAACATCTATACAGAGCCTTCAGTCATGTTTCTTCCCTATCACATCAATTTTATACTTGGGATCATTCTTAATAGGTTTTTCTATCAGATCTTTTATTGTGGGAGTGAATCATTTTGTTCCCTGGTTACCAAACTGATCATTTTAAGCAATAATCTGATCAACATATTGTAAAATCTCACCAGGAGTAACATGATCAAATGGTGCGTTTTTAAAAAGGACAATCCATTAAAGTTGTTTAGGTTTTGAACATTGTGCACTCCTCAAATGGACAATGATCTGAAATATGTTCAGCAATCTATTTTTACCGAACTTGTATTCAAATTCCCACAATGTTGCATATGATTCTTCTGTGTAACTTCACTTACCGTAAAACCAAGACACTGCTATGGATTCTAGAAAAACGACAGCAATGATAGCAGCTCCAGTAGCATATTCTTCAAAAAACTTCACCACAAATGCTCCACCCTGAAATAGCAGAAACATATGACAATGAATGGTCATTTAAAAAAATATATATCTTATGAGGTGTGAGCATCATTGGTAAGTCCAGCACCTGTCGCCCATCCCCAGTTCCCCTTGAACAGAATGACCTGCTCTGCCATTTCAGAGGGCTGTTAAGAGCCATTGTGGTGAGTCTCGAGTCACAAATTGGGTTAGAATGGCAGGTTTCCTTCCCCAAATGAAAGTAGTGAATACAATTTTAACAGCAACTGATCGCAGTTTTCATGGTTACCCTTTGCTGAAACTAGCTTTCAATTCCAGATTTTATTAATTGAATTGAATTTCACTGTGATTTGAAACTGTGTCCTCACAGTATTAACCTGAGCTCGGTTACTTATCTAGTGATAATGGCACAAGCCTACCGTTATTCTCTAAATGTGAATGCACAATATCGGAGTCTTGACGAACTGTCTCATATTCACCTTAGCTATACAACAAGAAAATCAACAGTGCATCAAAAACCATTGCATCAATTTGCTTTTGCTATAAGAAAGCCTGACTCCCTAAATTTCTCACAAATATGTGATTAAATAAATGTACAAGACACTTTAACAATAAATTTAGTAAATAAATCATTTTTTCCCATAGCGCTATCATAAAATGAAGGCACCCCAATGTGCTTTACAGACAATTAAGAACTTTTGAAGTGTGTAAGCATGACAGCTAATTTGTGTACAGGAATGTCCCATAAGGAGGTAATGAATAGATCGTTTGTTTGGATAATATTGGTGATGGGATAAATATTGGCTAGAATACTTGCAGGGTTATCAGATCCCACATGTACAAAGTGCAGAATCCAATGTAGAGAACTATTAAAAACAGGTGTTTGAAACTTGACAAATGTAGAGATACATGCATTTACATACAATGATCAGAGAAGAAGATTTGCCTGACAGAGGTATTAGTAAGAAGAATAATATGAATACACTGTGTATGAATTCTCAGGGTGGTCCAGACAGAGCACGAATGAGTGGACAAGATCTCAGGTTATAGAGAACAGAAGTTCATTTTCAATTCATCATTTTATTTGATCAGTGGACCACCAGGAATTAAAATCCAGCTTTGGAGAGCTACACTGTACAACAAATCTGGGAAGGTTCTTTCTGTTTGCACAATTGTGATTCTAATATCTAAAACCAGGATAATCCTACTAAGCTAAAAACAAATTTGGATAATATTGTATACATAGATGGAGGTCAATAGCTTTAGCCCAGTTAAAATATAGGAACAAACTTCTTTAGTTATCTGCTCATGCCAAGAAACAATGAGTCAGAAAGATAAGCAAGTGTCATTTAGTTCAACAATTTGGAATTGACATCATAACAATTCTAATTAAATAATAAAGTGTTTGCCTCACAATATGATGTTCAATAAAAGCAGTTGTGTAACATACTTAATGGATGGAGTGGAGAAGAGGATGAAGAAAATTGGCAAGGATTTAAATCTTGGGTTTTGCCCAAATATTACAAGTTAAAATTATCTGCTTATAATGGGAGTGGTTGAGTCAATGGAGGAGTCTACAGATTAAACTATCTTGTTCCTCTGACCAAGGAAAATAGCATGGAGCTTTGGCAAGTTTAACTTAACTGCGATGCACGATGTAGCTATATGTTTAAAAGAATCTGCTTGAATTTACCTACATCAGTGAAACAAAGCAAAATTATATTTAAAAAAAGCTTTCCATTTTGGACACTTGTTATTGTGAATGCAAAGTTTCCATTCTATTTTCCCAATAGCCCAAGTCTTCAGAAGCCGTTTCTAAGACCCAGATCAGACAAGATGTTACCTACTTATCTTTCCAGGATTTTCAGACCCAATTTTGATGCAAGTACAATCCCAACAATGACAGTAAGCAAATCATGCAGGCAGCAAAGGAATGGATCTTTCTAGAAGCTACATGGCAATAACTGCCATGTTTCAGTAAGGAAATACTGTTCACGGCTCCCAAAGTCACTTTGAATACAACTGAGATGGAGGTAGCGTTGGTGAGGGAGCAGGGTTGACAATCGGGTTGATGAGCGGGTGAGGGAATAAACAATGACTTGTCAAAGCATAGCCAACCAATCAACATCTCCTCTCCTGCAGCATTAGTGCTGGTTTCCCCTCTCAGATTGGTATTCTTGCAAACTTTCCTGATGTGCACCATGAAAAATTTCAGTGTCTCTTTTTTCAGCAATACTCAAATTGGCCAGAGCAGGTTTTAATTCATCAACCGTTTTGTGTGACTAACTATTAAGGTAACTAAGAACCCCTCTGATTTTCGAACTCTAACTCAGAGCTGGGACTTTGTCAGAGAGTTCCAGACACTGGATCTTTGCATTGAAAGTGTAAACTTCCTTGGTAATTAGCACATAATCTATGCACCCAAACTTCTAGAGATAACAAAGGTGTAGAGCTGGATGAACACAGCAGGCCAAGCAGCATCAGAGGAGCAGAAAAGCTGACGTTTCGGGCCTAGACCCTTCTTCAGAAATGGGGGAGGGGAAGGGGACTCTGAAATAAATAGAGAGAGGGGGAGGCGATGATAGAAGTTGGATAGGGGGGCAGATAGATGGAGAGAAGACAGACAGGTCAAGGAGGCGGGGATGAAGCCAGTACAGGTGAGTGCAGGCAGGGAATGGGATGGGGGTTGGTCAGTGAGGAGGGAGGGGCGGGTTGGTGGGAGAAAAGACGACAGGTCAAGGAGGTGGGGACAAGAGGGGCTGGTCTTGGGATGAGGTCGGGGGTGGGGAGATTTTGAAGCTTGTGAAGTCCACCTTTATACGATTGGGCTGCAGGGTTCCCAGGCGGAATACCAGATGCTGTTCCTCCAGCCTTTGGGTGGCATCGTTGTGGCACTGGAGGAGGCCCAGGATGGACATGTCGTCCAAGGAGTGGGAGGGGGAGTTGAAGTGGTTTGCGACTGGGAGGCGTAGTCGTTTGTCATGAACCGAGAATAGGTGTTCCACAAAGTGGTCTCCAAGCTTCCGCTTGGTTTCCCCGATGTAGAGGAGGCCACATCGGGAACAGTGGATACAATATACCACATTAGCAGATGTGCAGGTGAACATCTGTTTAATGTGGAAAGTTTTCTTGGGGCCTGGGATGGGGGTGAGGGGGGAGGTGTAGGGGCAGGTGTAGCACCTCCTGCTGTTGCAGGGAAAAGTACCGGGTGTGGTGGGGCTAGTGGGCAGTGTGGAGTGGACGAGGGAGTCGCGGAGAGAGTGGTCCATCCAGAAGGCAGATAGGGGTGGGGAGGGAAATATATCCTTGGTATTGGGGTCAGATTCCAGGTGGCGGAAGTGGCGGAGAATGATGTGTTGAATCCGGAGGTTGATGGGGCGATACGTGAGGACAAGGCGAATTCTGTCTTTGTTGTTATTGTGGGGAGGGAGTGTGAGGGCAGAGGTGCGGGAAATGCGAGAGATGTGGTCTAGGGCGTTTTCAACCATTGTGGAAGGGAAATTGGCTCATAGCCTGGCAAACACATTTTGCATTACAAATTCACAGCTGTTGACTTCACCAATTTTCAATTAATACAAGAGCAAGAAAAGAATTTTTGAAGCAATATTTCTATTTAATAGAAGTTTACAGTGCAGGTGGCCATTCAGCCTATTGTATCTATGTTGGTACTCTGCTTTAGCAGTTCAAAGCTGTCCCCTTCTCTCTTTGCTGCTTCTGCTTCAAATATTTGTTTGTGTAAGGGATGAATTTTATTCAGTTTTCAGCTTTTCTTTAAAAAAATGTGTAGAATCAAAGAAGCATTAACAGCACAGAAGAAGTCATTCAGCACATCACATCAGTGCTGGCTTGTTGCAACATCAACTTACCTAGATCCTGCCCCCATGCCTTTTCCCTGCTAATTTAGTTAAAAGTGGTCACAAAATTTTTTTTTCTGATGAAGGGTGTAGGCCCGAAACGTCAGCCTTCCTACTCCTATGATGCTGCTTGGCCTGCTGTGTTCATCCAGCTGTGCACCTTGTTGTCACATATGAAACACTAACTTGCTATTAGATAAGGACCAGGTGAAACACCTCGTGTGTACCACTATTAGTAACTTTGCAAAAGGTAAACTGCAAAGAGGCAAAGTGCAAACTATGTTTACACATCTCAAATTTATTAAAACATAAGCACCAAAGTAAACATATTCAGATATTAGACTGAGATTAATGTTAACACATATTAAGGAGGCTCTAATGCAATTAGAACAGAGAGAGAGAAACCAAATGTAGTTTACTATGATTAAGGTTAAACCTTTGCACTTACATATGTAAGGGTGCTCAGAGCTCCCAAATAGCAGACTATGACCAGGCCCAGCACAAACCATTCACGACGTTTTCGAAGTAGCTCTGAATATTCATCTAGTACTGCTGTTATCACTCCTTCCAGGCCTGCAAACTGAGGAACAAAAGCAGAGGATCTGACCAAAAATCTTCCTATTTTACATGAATATCCGTATCGCAATGAATTTTCAAACTCACATAGAAACCATTAATTTACTGTCACTGTTTTTATTCCTATTAATCCTGCCTATATTGTTGTAAATGAAAGATGATGATATATAGTTCATTAAAAATGGTGAGAACTTTAATATGGTCTGGAAGGAAGAGTACGTATTTTTAAAACGGCTTTAGTTCATGGTGGTTTTGGAGTAGGTGGCACAGTGGGTTGAAACTTACTCCTTGATATTGCTAGGGGTGGGGGAGGGGAGGAGGGGTGATAAAGGCCAGCAGATAGGGGAGGTGGCCAATCAGGGACCTCAATGGCCCTTCCACATTACCAGCCCAATCATTGGCCTGGCTACTCTTGAGCCATACCAGCTCCATTGAGAGAGCTGATTGTCACTAAGGCAGTGTAAACAATGTGAGAGTACTTCCACCTCATAGGTATCTTCTGAGATGTGAACTTTAAAAAATTTTTGATATGGGTGAAGCCGGCAGGGCATGGCGGGTGAAACTGAAGCTCTTCCAGTGCCAGCAGTGTGCCAGGGTGAAGGTGAGGGTGGCATCGTTTGTGGCCAGTAGTTCCCTTCCTGAACCATGGAGTCTTGATCTCAAATGGCCCAATCAGAAAGCTGCTCAGAGGGCCAGCTCCTTACAGCTGGGAGGCCTCTGCACTGGCAAAAAGCTGACTGGCCACTGTCAGGTACAAATGACCAGACCAAAAGCGCTCTTTATTGTGCCAATGATCATTCAAATTGTCTGCCCACCCCAGTTTGGCATCCAGCCATTCCCGTCTGTGAGAAATTTCCCTTCCCAGGGGATTGTGTCAGAATGCTGTCTAAATGCAGATTCCCAGCATTTGACCAGTTTCCCTGGTCTCTAGACCTGCCACCCAAGGCCAGTAAAACATCATCCTTTATTTTAAAACAGAATATGTATTTATTTAATAATAGATAAACCCATAGAGCAAATCCAAGTATACAGACAAACGTTTAGGCCCAATGTGGTGAAGTGGTAATGTCCCTACCTCTGAGCCAGGAGCCTTGGTTTCAAGTTCCACATCCTCCAGAGGTGTCTCATAACATGAACAGATTGATTGGAAAATATTTATCAACAAATGTTAAATGGCCTGGTGGTGTAGTGGTACTGTCTTCACCTCTAGGCCAGGAGGCCCAGGTATAAGTCACATCTGCTCCAGAGTTGTGTCTTAACATCTCTGAGCCATGTCATTAGAAAAGATCCATAAACAAATATTTAAATACTTGCAGTTCTATCAAACATCATGCCATCTGGAGTGTTGAAATATGAAACAACTCAATATTGTTGAGGCGAAAAGAATTTCAGCAGGTGACCAGAATAGAGGATCTATGATCTTTTGCTTACCGTACTGTCCAAGCCCAAAGTGATCAACATTAGGAAAAATATTATAGCGAAAAATGTGGATGCAGGCATATTGGTGATTGCCTCTGCATAAGTAATGAAAAGTAGACTGGGGCCTAGGAGGAGAAAGGTAGAATCAGATATTATAACGTACTGTCAATATTTTCTTCCTTTAACCCTTTACATCCTAGCTTCTTGCATGTACTCTATCTTTCTAAGGTACCGAACTCATGCAAGTAGGCTACATACTTCCATTGTTCTTAGTTTTATACACGAATTAGTAAGTGAGGCTCGAAGATTGGACTGATAGTCAGAAAATACTTTGAATAGCATTCCCTCAGTTAATGCTGGATTCCACCAAATTCTGTGCATGCATTTGGCTGGTACATTTAAATCAGACACTGCTGGGATGACAAACAATTTATAATAAAACTGTCAAACTATTTATTCAGACCCTTAGATTTGCAATACTTAAGGTGAATCCCATAATGTATATTGTGATAAAATTAGATTTTTATACTTTCGAATTTAGAGGAGGAGACATAGACTTGTTATAAATTAGAAATCTTTTTTAAATACTGTAAATATTTTGACACAATCTTCAGGTCTTATTGTCAATGTTGTTATTAAGATCTTTTGTCCAGCTGAACTTCCACTGTTGGCTTGGCATAACATCTACTCTCACAATTTGAAATAAACTCCTGGAATTCAGTGGATCCATGATATTAGCAACAAATGCCATAATTAGGTAATTGCGCTGTCTGATACTGCATGGTTAAGTTGCACCTCAATAATTTGAATACACCACAGATAAATAGGTGGAAAATTGGGAGCAGCATGGCCAATGGCCACTGTATAAAACCAACGAGACGTGATACTGCCTGGCTCCAGATTTACTGAAGACAGATGTTTAGTGATTATGCAGATGGGCAGACACTTACACAAATTGAAAATGTGGTAACATGATTTACCTCGCACTGCCTCATGTCTGTTTAATTCATTAGATGGAACAGTGACCCCTTCGATTGATTTCACTCCCCCATCCCAACTCCTGCCAAATTTCCCAGTGATGCTGTGCAAATAACAAGGAAACTAGAGACTTTAGGTTTCCAGTTGCTCAAATAACTTGCAATGATTGTGATTTGCTACTAAAGGTGTAAACAGGCACTAACAACCACATGCTCCAAGATTAACAATCTGCTTTACATACAGAGAGTCACATTTGGATGGTAGGTTAAGGCTAAGTCAACCAACTTCAATCAAGGAAATATCATTTCAGCTGACTTGGCATTCACAAAACTGCCACACTAAATATCAAAATGCACCCAATGGGAGCAACATGATTATTTCTCAATATTAGTAGTTAACTACGATTGACTGCACAGATTTTGAGCTCACCAGTGCCATTCTGCAATGGCATAAGTGACTGTGGCATTCACTGCGGCTTTAATTCTACAATTTCAATCGTGTTGTTGATTTTATTGGGGGGCATTGCTATCAGAATCAATTTTTCAACTTTTCTGTTTGGGTCTGAAGAAATTATAGTGTGTTGTATGCAATGGTTTTTAGGAGTGCCTATGCTTGGGATATTACATTCTAGCCCAATATCACTTCTCTCTTCTTCCTCTAATGAATGGGTGTTGGTCTCAGGATCTTGACTAAAAAATAATTCCTCCAACGGTCATGGCAGTCACAGAATCATAGAATCCTTCTGGTTTACTGTAATTCTTCGAACTGAGTAACCATCAGCTCACTTATTTTTAGAGTTTGATTAAACCCTGGAATTGTTTGTCATTTTATCTACCTTGACCATTGAACAAGCTTTGTGAGGAACTCCCAAACCACATGGACCGCTACTGTTCAAAGAGTCAGCTGGCCATTACCATTACAAGGGCAATTAGAAACGAGCACAAAATGCTTAGCTTGCCAGCCATGACCTCATCCTATGAATGAGTTGAAATAAATTCTGATATTGGCAACAAACCGAAGTCAATCATTTTTACTTGTTTGTTAGTGACTTGTTGTGTAGTATATATTGATTAAATTATCCTCCTGAAAATCATTCCCAGTTATTGTTTATTTAATATCAGATATTAAAGGAAATAATCATAACTATAACTGTCCATGAAAGCAATGATTCTATAACTTCATTCACATTTTGAAACCTCTTTCTCAAATTTAAAGATTTAATTTTCAGTTACCATGTTGTTATAGTCAGCAAATTTTTCATGTAAATGCACTGAAAGGTCATGGTTCATGGGAATGGTTTATTTGCCTTTATGCTCCTCTCAGCAATTATATCAGTGAAAATTAGCTGTTTCGTATAATGCATATGCTGGTATATTATAGATGTGATTTCTATCTAGCTGAAAAATATTAAAATACATTATCTCAATACATCTTTAGTTAGTTTTGTGACAGTAATTTCAGTAAAGCAGAACTATAGTTGGCAAAGTTGTTCATTGGTAGCTGAGCACATTGTAAATAAACATATTATTTTCTATATATGACTGTCAAATGTAAGCATTTTTAGGGCCCAGGAATTACAACTCCTCAAAATAACTCTCTGTCCTAACCATTTTTGGGTTTCCGTTTGTGAACAGTCTAGGGGTTAATCTTTCTCAGAATAGCAAGGCAGGTATGGGGTCCAAAGGGATAGCTTTCTTGGAGCCTCCATCCCTGCTATTTTCCAACAGTTGCAAGGTTATTATGCCTGATGAACTTATTACAGTGATGCAAAGACTCTACAATGACAGGCAGGTTAGATGATGGAATATAATGTAGGGAAATGTGAGGTGGTGTACAGGAAGATTGATAAGCTGAATATTAATTAAATGGGGAATGACTGCAGAAAGCTGCAGCACAAAAGAATTTGCACGTCCATGTGCATAGGTCACACAAAACTAACATGCAAGTTCAGCAGGTAATAGGTAAAGTTATTTGACTGATGACTTTTATTTCAAAGACAATGGAGTACAAAAATAGGAAGGTGTTGTTAAAACTATATATGACACTAGTCAGACCACACCTGGAATATTACAAACAGTTTTGGACTCCTTATCTAAGGAAAGATAGATTGAAATTGGAGGGAGTCCAGAGAAGGTTTGCTAAGTTGATTTCGGGTATAGAAGGACTTTCTTTGAAGAGAGGTTGAGTATATTGAGCTTGTATACTCATTGGAATTTTGAAAAATGACAGGAGACCTTATTGAACTGTAAGATTCTTAGGGCACTTGACAGAGTAGATGCAGAAAGGGGTGAATCCTCTTGTGGGAGAATCTAACACCAGAGGGCATAGTCTCATCCATTTGAAACAGAAATGAGGAGAACTTATCTTCGACAGTACTGAATCTGTAGCATTCTTTACTGCATAGGGCTGTTAAGGCTGGGTCATTTAGCGAATAAAGGCTAAGATAGACTTTTAATCAATAAAGGCACCTAGAGTAATTGGAATAGAGCAAAAAGGTGGAGTTGAGGATTATTAAATCAGACATTGACATTAAGTTGTGGAGCAAACTCAATTGGCTGAATGGCCAATGCCTGCTCATGCATCTTATAGTCTAATATCTTTATGCTATTCCTTGAAGACCACAAGTTTTTAATGGTAGGAAAGCAAGTTTCAAGTATCCCATTCCTTAAACTATGTTCTCACCAGAACCCTCAATCTATTAAAAACTACTCTTTCAAATAAAAAAATGGTACACAGTGATTCAATTTGTACATTTTGGGAAACACACCAGTGTCACTGGTTATCAACTTTTAGAACTGGTGGAATTTTGCACATTATTATTGCAATGTCATCCTACCGGTGTCTTTGGCCACATCTGCCACTTCTTCATTCCTCTTTTCTGCCATGTAGCCAAGAACAGTAAATATAACACAACCAGACATGAAACTGGTCAAGCAGTTCACAGTGCTGATGACCAATGCATCCCTAAAGCAAGTAAACAAGAAATAGTCCATTGCCTGAATTCAATTTAGGTCACATTTTAATTTCTCACAATTTATTGTTGAGCAAACTTTCTGAATTTTGTTGTAAAATCACCTCATCTTTATATAGAATACTCACTGCATGAGGTTAATGCATTCACACCCCCTATTAATTAAGCTTCGATGCTATTCAGTTTGCACATTAAAATGGGTGTCTGAGCTCTAATCAAAGCCCCACATCACAAGATAAAATGCTAAATAAAAACCAAAAGAACTGCGGATGCTGTAAATCAGGAACAAAAACAAAGTTGCTGGAAAAGCTCAGCAGGTCTGGCAGCATCTGTGGAGGAGAAAACAGAGTTAATGTTTCGGGTCCGGTGACCCTTCCTCATAACTGGACCCGAAACATTAACTGTGTTTTCTCCTCCACAGATTCTGCCAGACCTGCTGAGCTTTTCCAGCAACTTTGTTTTTGTACAAGATAAAATGCAACTGGTAAAATGCAAAGCAGACACTCAGCCGCATTATACAATCAGCTCTTTATCAAAGAGATGATAATTCTTTAGATACTAAAGGCAACAAGGGTACGCTGAGAAAGCAGAAATATAGCATTGAGGTAGAATGTCAGCTATGATCATATTGAATGGTGGAGCAGGATTAAAGGGCCGAATGGCCTACTCCTGGTTTCTAAATGGGAATGGCTCTTCCACAATGTGTGCAGCAGGTGCAGTTCCTAGGTAGCCATCATTTATCACTCTGCAGATCAACTCTTTCAATCCTGTTGACTCCCCTCCCTCATGCTTTAACAAAATATGTTGATTTTATAATCCTAAAAATGAGCAATTAATCAGAAGAGAATGTTACAGGATAAGAATGACTTCGCTTTTTGGTAAGTCATCATCCAAAAAGAAGAACAGAAAATGCAGGAAGCTGCAGCTCAGACAGCACCTATGGACAGAGTATGACTCAGGTCATTTATAAAAGGTCAACAATCTGAATCATTTAACTCTGTTTTTCTCTCCACTGTGCTGCCCATCATGCTGAGTATTTCCAGAAATTTTTGGTTTTACTTCAGAGTTCCAGCATTTGCAATATTTTGTTTCATGTACTCAAATTTGTAACTCAACTGGATGTTTTATCATTGTTAGTTTTTCTGCTCTGATACATTTTCTATCAAAACTCTAAAGATGTTCCCGATTCATTAGTGCTGCGAGTTAGCTTCATCCCATCATCTGCCCAAACAGATGGAGTGAAAATCTCAATTTACTCTGCTGCAAGAGTGGTCCTGTTTCTAAAGTCTCATTCGATGTATTATCTAATGATTGAAAACACACAATTTAGCACAAAACTTGTGTAGTACTAGCCAGTGCACCTTTAAGGGTAGGGAATATTATTGAGACAGAGCTTGATCCTCTGCCCAGCCATTAATCTAACTGACTTTGATCTGAATACTAGGAACGAAAAGTGGATTTTCTTTTTCATTTTTCTGCATTGGCACGCTCGATCTTACTGGGAGCCAAGTGTCAATAATTGCAATGATAAGGGCAAGCCTAAACAAGATAACTCGCTGGAAAGAAATCCATACATTGTTTAACAGACTGACTTGTAACAGTTGTTATTAAATTTGTTGTAGCTGGCGAATGCCAAGAGCACACCAAATCCTGGGCCAAGTGAAAAGAAAATCTGTGCAGCAGCATCCACCCACACCTGGAAACAAAAGAAAAGAAGCTGATCAAAACTTTACAGCTATATACCTCTACATTATTACAATCATCAAATGATGATGCATCAGAATTGCCAAAGGACATATTAAACATTTAATTCCAATATGCATTTATTTTTAAGCAAGAGGAATGCTACAGTTTATTGCAGATGTAAATCCTCTGCAGACCTATGGCAAGGCACATCAGGGGAACCTCAAAAGGAAAGATTAAAAAGGCAGAGATAATGAGAGTGTGATTGCCCTATCCCTCTCAGCAGGGAGCGATCTTTCGCCGATATGTTTGTGTTCCCCTTTTGAAGATGCACCAAAAAAAGGGGTTAAAAATACAATCCTTGGTCTATACGTTGGCGACCTGACATGCTAGCGTGTGGACTGATATGCTGTGAAGGGCATAGCTTGAGAATAACCATTAAAACACTCCTGCACTGCAGGTAAATAAGGAAAGGACAATTTATTCCTCAACCATTAGCAGCCAGCCACTACCAAAAGGAGCCAGGTCAAATGAATTTCAACAAAGCCAAGAATTTCAAAATCATCTACTCAACTACAAACGTCAGTACTACTGGTATCATCCAATGTAACGGCCACAACATTATACTGTCCACTTTTCATGAATTACTCAGAAAATTGATCAATATATTTTATTTTACGCTTTCATCATCTTTTTGGACTCACTTCATTTTCGTTATCGGTTTGTATGCACGTGGAGTTATTATTAGCATTGTTGTGACCAATGTGGGGTTGGGTAAATAAAGAATAGGAACCAGTTCATTCCTCCTCAGCTGGGAATTTAATGATTTGAGATATCCCCTCTAGAACCATAAGAAATAGAGAAACCTCTTCTGAGGACTGGTCATAACACAATGGACCAAGATTTGCCCCATTACTTCAATCCATATATCCACAAATATGTAAACTATTCCCTTCATACTGTCTACACCATCGCCAAATTGCCCTCAAAGTCTCTGCTGCTCTAGAGAATATAGACTCAGCTGTCTGGATAACTGTAAGTTAGTCTTGAATATCAATACATCATTAATAAGTTGGTCATATCACTGTACACTTAGCGTTTCAAAAACTTTTCATGTTCTTCCATATTAAGTCACCCCAATCATGACACTCATTATGTAACAACCGTAGTGGCACTAATGCTGGCAACACACAGAATAAAATAACTCATCTCCCTTTGACCCATCCAAAGACTTTTCCATCTACTACATCACAGGTCACGACTCCAGAAGTGAAAATCCAATGTCATGGCATAATAGGCAAGAATTGAAGTTGAGTGGGAAGTTCTGTTAGGTGGTTAATCACTGTCAATAAATTACAATTTTAAACTGAGTGGGTCTGACCATAATCGTAAAGGTTAGTGACTGAAACATTTTGCCTATTTCTGTTGGGGTGTTTCAATGTTGCAAAGAGGCAATATTCAAGTTCCACCATCAGATGCTGCCACCTGAGCTTGTGCAGTTCTGACAGGTCAATGACGTACAGTTGAATCTATACCCGAGTATAATATTTAGTATCCCTGATAGCCTAATGTAGTACCAATCTGTGGCTAACAGATTCATTTGAAGAATAAAGCTCTCTTGTCCCGTTGCCACCAGTTTGAATCCACATTTCAGAATGCCACACCACCTTCCATCTTCAGTACCAACCCTCCTTATCCCCTCATTGAACAATATTGCCAATGCTGTGCCCAATAATGGCCAATAATGGGTCAGCATTATTCTAGCTAATGTCCTCAGATTACTCATTCTGTATTATATCCAGAACAAGACGGGGCCCTTGTATTGCAAAGTAGTAGTGTCCCTGTCACTGAGCCAAGAGGCCTGGATTCGAGTCCCACCTGTTCCAGAAGTGTGCAACAATGTCTCTGAACAGAGTGAATAGGAAAATACCTATAACCACATAAAGAAGCAGAAAAACATCCTTCCTTGACTATAGACCTAAAGATAACACTGATTTAATCCACAGTGTGGACCAATTTTGGATATGAATGTCAGCTGACTTTTAATAGATTTGTTTTAAGATGTTTAAACCTAAAAGGCAATTTTATTCCACTATTGGTTGTGTTGTTGAATTGATATGTTCAGAAGTATGATCTAGGTAATAAAGTTTACATTACAGGAAACCAATATCCGTTGGAACATGGGGGTTGGGAGACAATAATCATCCAAACATTAGCTGCCCATTCCTGAGGTAGACAGACATTGAAAATTATTGAGTCAGAGTCCTTGTCGCACCCCCTGGATGGCAAGACCCTAAACAACTGCTTTGAGCAGTAAACACCATCAAAGCTTATGAAAACGATATTCCCATATCAACACTAGAACTGATTTGCAATTTGCATGTACAAATGGTAAAAAAGTTAGCAGGGCAGACAGATAAGGTGGTTAAACGAGGCATATGGGATAGTTGCCTTGATTAGCTGAAGGCATAGAATTCAAGGACAAGAAGGTTATGCTGAAACTGTACAAAACACTGGAGTACTTGCACGTAGTTTTGGTCACCACATTATAGGAAAGATGTGAGTGCACTAGAGTGCATAGAAGATTTACCAGCGTGCTGCTTGTACTGAAGAGAGTGAGCTATGAGGACAGATTGAAAAGGTTAAGTTGAGGAGAAACCAAAGCATAGATCTGGTGATCAGGTAGACATCCACTCGTACAGGGGTCAATAAACAGGGGCAGTTGAGGAGAAACTTTATTCACGCAGAGAGTGGTGGGAGTCTGGGATGTACTGCCTAAAAGGATGGTTTAGTCAGATGAGTCTCGTAATATCTTAGCATTTAGCTATCCACTTGCATTGCCATAGCCTCTTGGGCTATGGGTTAAAAGCTGGAAATGGGATTAATATAGTCAGATCCTTGTTGAGTGGCACAGACACAATGGCTGTTTGGCCTACTGTAAAGTAAATGTCTGTAAGTCTAACTGGGCAACCACTCAATATACACAATCCACCCATTTTAACTGGGCAATGATCAGCCTTACCAGCAGTACTCAAAACTTCAATGTAGTTTTTTGGATGTAAATCTCATGTCCAAGAGATTGTGAAAGGTGCTATGAAAATGCAAGTTGCTTCTTTCACTTGGTGATATAGTTCTGCAATGAAATCCAAGATAACTGATGCTCCATTATAATGCCTGTTGAACAGTGAGTCAATCAGATAAGAGTGTATGCTGGGGCACTGCGTAAATTTAAGGAGGAGATAGACAGATTTTTAATTAGTAACAGGTTGATGGGTTATGGGGAGCAGACAGGAAAGTGAAGTTGAGGCTGAGATGAGATCAATCATGATCCTATCAAAAAGCGGAACAAACTCAAACGGCTGGACTACCTACTCCTGCTCCTAGTTCTTCTCTTCTTATGAGATCATTTCAATTATCTGCCCTCCATAATCCTAATTTTCTGACTTTGTGTGGATCTGATGGTCACTTCATCCCTGGAGACAGGTAATGGTTTCTGATAAAACCAGGGATACAGTCAACGAATTATAATACCCTTTAAATTGAGAATCTGGAGAATTGACATGGTTACACAAGTAATAAATAGTAGTGAAGAAGGGTCTGAAGAAGGGTCCAGGCCCGAAACGTCAGCTTTCCTGCTCCTCTGATGCTGCTTGGCCTGCTGTGTTCATCCAGCTCTACACCTTGTTATCTATAATAAATAGTAGTACCTTGTTTGTTTGCCAAGTCAATACGCATGTCTTTTTATAATTATATTGAACACAAACTGACAAATCCCATTTAATTAAAGCACAGATTAATTGCCACCATGAGTTATTATGCATTTTCAAGTAACACAGCGGGACAATAATTCCATGGCCGTATTTCCACTGGCTGTCTGGGATGCTATTTTCGTGAGAGTGTTTTGTTCTTAAAGGATAGCAACTATTAAACACAAAATGAAAAATCACAATGAAGGGTTTCATACACAGGAAAGCTGAACAGTTACTCAGGAACTAAATCTTTTACACATTTGGTTATATAGACTTGCTGTCCAAAGCTGATGCTGCAATTTTCTTTAAAATCAGGATTGTGACATGATGAACTAAATAAGAAGGAGTGTGGAGTGGGGTAAATCTCTATTGCGAACCTAAGGTGAGATGAATCACGTTAAATAAAAACAGTTATTAACTTCTGTTCTAGTAGCATAATTTTTACATATAAAGCTTTACATGCTGTAAAATATTTGGGTATTGTAATAGCTCTTGAGCATTCATTCCTCAGAGCACTAAGTATCAAAATCACATTTCCCTCAATAAAAGGTAATTTGAGAAATGGGAACCAATTCCTACACCTCAAATCTTTTTAGAATAGATTTTTTTAATAGAATCCCTACAGTGTGGAAACAGGCCCTTTGGCCCAACAAGTCCACACCGACCCTCAGAACATCCCACTGAGACCCATCCTCCTATAACCCATCTAAACTACACATCCCTTAACACTACGGGCAATTTAGTATGACCAATCCACTTAGCCTGCACAGCTTTGGACTTTGGGAGGAAAGTGGAGCACCCAGAGGAAACCCAAGCAGATATGGGGAGAACATGCAAACTCCACAGATAGCCACCCAAGGGTGAAATTGAACCCAGATTCCTGGCGCTGTGAGGCAGCAGTGCTAACCACTGAGCCATTGTGCCGCCTCGTGATTGGAAGAAAGGAGATGCAGCAAACAGCTTTGGTATAGATTAATATAAATACCATTCATTTAATTGTGATATTATTGATAAAAGATACCTACTTTTGGAAAAGTACAGTTATTTCCCTCTCTATTAGAAATATCACTCATACATCACTACATGTAAATGTAGATGGGTGGGTTAGTAAGTTTGCAGATGATACAAAGATTAGTGGAGTTGTGTATAGGGTAGAAGGTTGTCAGAGGATACAGCGGGATATAGATCAGTTGCAGATATGGGCGGAGAAATGGTATATGGAGTTTAATCTGGGTAAGTGTGAGGAAATCAAATGTTAAGGAAA